AATCAATGTGGTAAAGCCTTTGCACTGAAGAGTAGTCTTCAAATGCATGAAAGAATTCATACTGGAGAGAAACCCTATGAATGTAATCAATGTGGCAAAGCCTTTGCAAAAAAGAGTTATCTTCTCAACCATGAAAGAATTCATACTAGAGACAAACCCTATGAATGTAATCAATGTGGTAAAGCCTTTGCAACAAAAAGTTATCTTCTCCTCCATGAAAGCATCCATACTGGAGAGAAACCCCATGAATGTATTCACTGTGGTAAAGCCTTTGCAATGAAGAGTTATCTTCTCAGCCATCAAAGAATTCATACTGGAGAGAAACCATATGAATGTAATCAATGTGGTAAAGTCTTTGCACACAAGAGTAGTCTTCAAATTCATGAACGAATTCATACTGGAGACAAACCCTATGAATGTAATCAATGTGGTAAAGCCTTTGCAACAAAAAGTTATCTTCTCACCCATGAAGGCATCCATACTGGAGAGAAACCCCATGAATGTATTCAATGTGGTAAAGCCTTTGCAATGAAGAGTTATCTTCTCAGCCATCAAAGAATTCATACTGGAGAGAAACCGTATGAATGTAATCAATGTGGTAATGCATTTACACGGAAGAGTAGTCTTCAAAATCATGAAAGAAGTCATACTGGAGAGAAACCCTATGAATGTAATCAATTTGGTAAAGCCTTTGCAAAAAAGAGTTATCTTCTCACCCATGAAAGAATTCATACTGGAGAGAAACCATATAAATGTGACCAATGTAGTAAAGCCTTTGCACAGAAGATTAGTCTTCAAAGTCATGAAAGAATTCATACTGGAGAGACCGTATGAATGTAATCAATGTAGTAAAGCCTTTGTAGAGAAGAGTAGCCTTCTAAGTCATGAAAGAATTCATACTGGGGAGAAACCCTATTAATGTGACCAATGTGGTAAAGCATTTGCAAAGAAGAGTAATCTTCACAGTCATGAAAATATTCATACTGGACAGTACCACATGGTAATTTCAGATGTGAGCTGATGTGAGCTGCCATGTGGGTGTTGGAAACTGAGTTTTGTGTTCTACAAGAGGTACTTTCTGGAGTCCAGTGTCATAAGAGTTCATGTACCAAAGAAGAAATGAGGTATCAGTAGAGGAAGGAGACTGCCATGATGTGAGCATGAAGCACTGTGGCTGATGATTTATTGAAAACAACTACACAGTTTATGCTCTGTAACTGAATCTTAGTTTAGACTCAAACAGGTTAAAAACAGACTTAATGATTCCAGGATAAAGGCAGCCATCATCCTCATACAGCATTTTTCCTAGGGCAAGAAGTGATAAATTCAGCAAGTATCTTAATGCCTTGTGGATGTGAGCCCATTGTTTCCTTTCATAGTTGCTTTCATCCTTGCAACTAGGTGTATCCAGTTAGTATACATTGGGGCTTCTTGTGTGGGAGTAGGCATAGTAATCACATTTTGTGTTTGCATGTTGGTTGGGATTTTTTCCAAGAATTTTGTTTAAAGAGACTGCATTGCCTATGTATATGTTCCCATCCTCCAGTGTTGCCAACAAAATAAATTTCCCACATTAAAAGGCATAAGGAAACTTCATAACTATAGTGAGAATTATTAAAATTGAAATAAAAATGATGCTGGAGAATTAAGATCGGCAATGTGGAGATGCTGGAACTTTGTCAAACAGCAATGGTCACTGTGCAGTCCATGCCAAGTGCTAAACTGCTAAACAATTTCTCATCCCTTTTTATTTGTTTTAAGATTCATTTTATTTTTGTTATCTTTGTGAGTCCACATGAATAGTATAGTTTGAAATCAGATGTCAGCCTGTGTGACCCAGTTCTTCCTTTCTACCACTTCTGCTCTGAGGACCAGACCAGGTCCATCAGTCATGGTTACAAGCACTGTTACTTGCTGAGCCATGCCATGATGAACACTGAGCACTGATATTTTTTTCTTAATTGTTAATTTTTTTTTTAAATAGGCTGATGAAGTTCAGGCTGACCTTAAACTTCAGACATTTCTGCTTCCACCTCAAGTTACTGGAATGACAGGTTTTACTACCATGCCCTGTTTATGCAGAGGTCTTGAGTGTGCTGACCAAGTATTCTATTCAATGATCGCCATCTGATATGAAAACATTGATGTAGCTGAGTGTTTCATATAGAGGTCTACACTGAGAACCTGCGTCAAAACCAAACCAAAACTGCAAACACCAACTTTTGTTAAAATAAACTGTGTGTATGTGTTTTGAGATAGGTGTCTATCTCAGTTGTCTAGACTGGCCTAGAACTCACACGTTAGCCCTTGAAACTTGCCCCTTGGCTTGGCTTCCTCAGTACCTGGAGAACAATGCTGGACTAGAGTGAGCAAGCCAGAGCACAGAGTGGACTAACTGTGTGTTTGGGGCATCACAGGTGGTAGCCAGAGGTGCATGATGAAAGCAGAATATTTCTGGGGTTGGATTATATTCCAGAACCTTGCTGGAAATGAAATGCCAGCATTTCAGCATGGAAGCATGAGAAAAGGCCCAGATTTCAATCCTCTTTGGGGTCGAAATATCCTGAGAGTCGCATGTAAGCTAGGGCCACAAATGCAGTGTGAGGCATTGCTTATGAAGAGAGAGATATACACTGCTGAGTCCATGGTCATGGCTTAGTTGCATCTTCATTGGCCTCATTAGAGGGTGAATGAGCATGCCAGGGCCAGAGCTGAGCCCAGTAGTCCCTGGACAAGGACAAGGAGAAAGATGCAAAAGAGGCTTCTGTCTTGTCTTACTCGCTCGTAGAGCACACTGGGCTGAGATTACACAAAACTGAAAAACTTCCCAGGTGGCAAAGTATTGCGAAATCCTTCCAATTCTCACATGGGAAACTGAAACAGAAGGAAGACAGTCGTGGCCAGACCAATTCTGGGTATGGTTTCAACTGGTTATTGTAACTATATTAACAAGTGTGATGCACTTATGTCTGTCTGAATAACAGACATAAGGAGGTGAAGTCACTCAACAGAGGTGAAAGACAATAAATGGACCATTAGCAGGATTTGATCCCATGTATCCCATGTGTACTCATAAAATTTTTATGTCTGCATGTATTCATTAATGTGGGGTGAGGGCATGCATGTGTGGGAATCAGAGGACAACTTACCTGAATGCATTTTCTCCTTCAACCATGTGGTTCCCAGGGATGGTTCTCAGATATAAAACATGTATGGCCACAAGTATCATTACCACCACAACCATGTCTCAAGCCCTCAGTTGTATCATTTTGTGTGTGTTCTTTGTGTGAATGTGCATGTGTGGAGGTCACAGGTCAAGTTTCGTCATTTCATAAATTGATATTATACTCCAATTGACTTTATGGGTTATGGGGCATGGCAAGGCATCTCCAGACTCTAGAATTCCCCAAGATGTGCCAATGGAGACTCTAAGGACAGGGAAGGCATTGTGGTTTTCTATCTAGAGCCAAATAGATAAAGTATTTGCTGACCTGAAGTTCAGACAGTGGACAGTGCCTGGTTTATTTGTGCTGTGTATACACAGGGCCTTGAGTCATTAAAAGATAATCTGTGTTTTTGATTGTGGTAACAAATCACATCCCCATCAATTAATGGCTTTATTGTCCATATATTGCTTTATTTTCCTGTTTGTCATTCTGGCCCTATATATTCCACCCCTTTTGTACTTTGTTTTATCTGAGATCAAGTTCAAATCCCTAAAAGCTGAATATTCCCCCCCACCCCCCCCTACCCCCCGAAGAGGCCACTCTGGATGCCAAGATTTGATGAATATCAAAACATGATCTGGAATCCCTTCAAGGGTAACAAAATAATTGTTTGAATTTTTTCCATTCCAAACATTTAAATGAGAAACATTTTCAGCACCTGGGGTATTCAAACACAGGTTCTGAGTTGGGTCAGCTTCTGTCCTGAATCTGGTACCCAGTACCAAGCTTTAGTGAAGAGGTCCCTGGTTGCATCCTGGCTCAAAATGGCCACTCATGAAACCCCAGACCCCTCCAGATTACAGGACTTGCCAAAGAAGCCTTTGTGCTAAAGGAGGCTTTGAAGGTGCAGCAGGTTATCCTGGCTATTGGAGGAGGAGGCAAAAGAGGCCAAATGACAGACTTGCTGCAGAGAATCTATTTAGTATAGGCTCTGTGGATCACGGTCAGGTAATGGGACATAGAGAAAACTCTCTGAACAAAGAGGGATAGCTTGCTGGATCCAGCTTGGGCCAGGTGCCTCAGGGACATGTTCCTACTTCAGCCATCTATGACCACTGAAGTTTGGATTTTGATTTAAGTACAGAGGTGTGTGGTTGTGTCTTGCTAGAGATGCAGCTGCTGCAAGCCCAGGGCTGTTGAGACAGCTCAGCCATTCAGTCTCCATAATTCCCCTCTGCAAGATAAAGCCTTAGGGACCACCTTCCTCAGCCTGCAGGATGGTGACCAGGACTCCTGTACTGGGAGATCAGCCTGGACATTACCAATGGTGCTAGCTAGCCCCATCACACCATGACTGCCTACACTCTCCCTGTGATTCCCATTACTCTGCAACACTTCACATGTTACAACTTCTGATATGCCACCTACATCACAAGTATCCACCAGGGACTGTAAACTCACTGTGAAAGGGAAACATACATGTGTGGAACTTGGGGTGATGGCAGGAATGTGGCAGATGGGCTTAGTAGATAGTTTTGAGCTTCTGACCCAAAACTCAGTTATGGGTCCAGAAGCATATAAACATGAATACAGTGCAATATTTAATAAATCCAGGGAATGTTGTGGCTCATGGGTAAAGCCCCTGCATAGGATACCCATCATTTTTTCTAGAGATAATTAAAAAAGATCTCGGCCTCCTGGAGTACTCAGAACGTGGGGCAAAGGCTGGCATTGTACTGTTGAATTCGATCATGAAGGGACAGACAAGGTAACCCTTTTACATTTGGAAATGTTCTGAGTAGGTCTTCTGGAGGCCCCAATATCAAGTTTGATCCGATGTTCTGAGTAGGCCTTCTGGAGGCCCCAATATCAAGTTTGATCCAATCTTTATCTGTCAGCATCAAAACTCCCAAAGTTAGATTACACAGTGGTTTATTAACTTCAAATTTTCATATGCCCATGAGAACAGACAATAGCACAGAGAGATACTGTATAGTACAAAGAACTTCTGAGTTAAATTAGTTTGTATATTTTAAAGATGTGTTAACCTCAGAATGGAAACTGAGATATGTGTTCCATTGGGGAAGAGATTTTACCTTTGCTTTCACAGGAGAAAGAATAGTGGTGAATACCATCAGGATTAATAAAGATAATTGTTAAATAGAAAGGACCTGCTTAATAAAAAGAGGTGAGAGTTCATCAGACAGCTTAGTCATTCAATCCAAGCTAATACAAAAACTAACAAATGCCTTTCATTTAATCAGACCAAAAATTTTTTTTAAAAATTTTTCAAATGATAATTTACCAATGGCACACTTGTCTTACTGGCATAAAATGAAATATGTGTTTTCTTGTGCCACATATTTCAATTCCATGCGACAATGTTAGACTGTAGATTTTAAGGTGACCCATGACATTTTGGACATTAGCTTTTTAGTTTTCTTCTTAAACAAAATGGATATTTTTATTGTTTGCTGTTAAAAATCACAGTTAAGAGATTTACATTTTTTAAAGTAAATTCAAAGGGTTACTACAGCTCAAACTGTTTTTCTAAGTCTCTCAGAGTTAGGTTGGGAGCTAAGATGTTTGAGAGAGCAGTGATAGCCCATGCTTTTCATCCCTGAAGAGACAGACACATCTCTATAGCTCACTTGTTTCTTAAAGGTATGGTAGTTCACCTTTTTAATGCCACTACTCAGGGTCAAAAGTCAGATGCAGTGTTTACAGGTTATTGTAATAAATCCTCCACAGAATTACTAGAAAGGCAGCTAATTTCCAATGGGAACAGGAAGAAAGAGCAGCTTTTGTGGCTGCCTTTATGCTCTTCTCTGTGCATGCAACCTTGACCACTGTTTAACCAGATGGTATCCTGACGATAGATATCATCATATTTATTGCTTAATTGGCATCTATGGACTCTTCATAAAACAAAAAGAGTCTACCTACATTTACCATATGGATTCTATTGCAAAATCTTTCTATATAAAGAGAATAAATACCTTCTCAGAAAAAAAAATCTGCACATATTTTTGAGGCATGGACAACCTTAGGCCAACTATCCTATGGTGATCTGGGCCCCCCTTACAATGATGAATTGGATCTGTTCAAAGTCTGAGTCCTCAGCATGGAAGGAAAGTTATTACAGTGGAAATGGTACATATCAGAATTCCTTAGTGAGTGAGATATGGTTAGCACTGAAGAAATAGTTCAGAGCCTAAAGTGGTTACCCCTCCTCCAAGAGAGGCAACTATTGAACTGCAGGGACCAACAGAATGGTGAAATCATTTGGATAAGGCATGGCTCATCAACCATTGATGGATCTCAAACTAAAACGGAGAGTGTCAACCTCTAGACTTGAGATGGAATGGCCAAGTTTGAGGAAGAAGATACCACAAAATCATTAAACCACAATTATACATTGGACAAACTGCTAAAGAAGGCCAAAGGAACATCTGCAGTTCATGGGCCTGTTCAGTGGCACAGTTACACAGCAATCAAAATGGAAAAGCACCTACTGCCAGGTGAATGGCAAAGACAGTGGGTCATGGGAGGCATGGATGGAAATGGCAGCACCCGGTAAATAGGGAACTATGAGGTCTTGTGAGAGTTTCCATGGTGATCCAGATGGTCTTATCCTTGAGATTCCATGACTTCCCATGGTCACAAGTGAGGTCCTGCGGGTTTCCCTAAGGAAATATGAAATTCTTTGAGATGAGTTTCATGTCCTCATTTGTCAACACTGACCATATTTTTATTGTATCTATTTCTAAGTTTTTCTGATATTCTGTTAATGTCTTTATTCTTTTCCAAACAGTACAGTCTTATTGTAGGTATATGGGAAGTTTTCAAGGCAGTTGATGTCACTATGTGTGCTATTTATTCAGTCTTGTGTGGATCATTTGTTCTTCATGGTGATCATTTTTCATTTTTCTGTAGTTGATAGCATTAATAGTTAGACATTTTGTTGGACTTTTGTTGAATCTATAGCTCCTGTCTACAATCATGAAATTCTATCCTTTTATCTAATTCCTTGATTCTTTTAATTACTAATTTATACTTTTACCTACAGGTATTTGTCACATTTCTCTTTCCTTGGCTGTTTATCCATGGTGACGTATAAGAGATTTGGGTGTTGTGTTTTTAATTTACTAAATTTCCTTATTTTATTTCAACTGTATGGGTGTTTTGCATGCATGTATGCATGTTCTCCATGAGTGTTTGATGTGCACAGAAGACAGAAGAGGCCATCAGATCCTCTGCAAGAGGATGTAGGTATGATTGTGCATCACCATGTCAGATCTGGGGATGAAACTCATGTCTTCTCCAAGAGCAATATGTGGCCTTCACTGCTGAGCCATCTCTCTACTTCTAAACTTGACAGATTATCAGAATTGTGTGTGTGTGCATGCAGATGCTCACACTGAAAACTGAGTGTTCAGAGAGTTGCTGCTTGATTAAAAGTATGTGTATCAAGGACTAAGGGGGTCAAGCCCCTCAATAGTCCCCTCCCAGGGTCTGGGAAGAATCTATAACCAGCTGATAATTAATCTTTGATGAAAAGAAATGAATCAATGTACACAAAACTACTTAGCTCATACACTTTATTATTCTGTGATAGTTCTCTCTATATACAGCTTCTGTTCTGCTGATTTCCCTATATTTATCTACTGTCCCCTCTAGGTTCTATCTTAATTTCTTCATCTAGTACTGTCCCTTCTAGGTTCTCATCCATCTTGTTCCTTCCCATATCATCTCCTCTCCCACCTCCTCTCTCCTCTTCTCATTCTAACTCATCTTGTTCTTCCCCATCTGGCTCTTCCTCCTTTTCCACATCGTTCCTCTAGTACTCTCTTGTAGCCCTTCAATCTACTTCTTCCCCATCTCAATTTGTTACTCTCAAGTTCTTACCCATCTAGTTCTTCCATTCTCTTTCTCTTCTCTGTCCTGTGCCCTGGAAGTCCTGGTATATAAAGGGAGGGTCCGAGCTAAATTGTGTAAAGCTATTACTTAACCTCCACCTCTCCTAGGTGGTGTCTCCTTGTGGAATTTACCATATGTCAGGAGACTTGCATGTGGGCTGTTATCATTTTTAGTCCACCTGGGACTAACAATGGGCACCCACCTGGGTGGTGTTTCCTGTAGTCCTTGAAAGTGGCTAAGGGAGATAATCTGATTCCAGAGAAAGCCTTTCCTGAGGCTGTTCTCCAAATACCTGGAATGTGTATGTCCAGAGAGTGATCAGCCTACACTGTTAGTCCTTCTTAGGGGAAAGTCAATTGGAAAAACGATGAAGGCACACCTGATTTTCATAACAGAATACAGCTGATATATAACAAGCCACATGGCACCAAAAACTACTGGGATTTGGCTTCCTCTGGAGGAATTCCCTGATCCCTCCATGTAGTGACTTT